GGAAAAATCAGAATTCATAATTGACCTGTCGCACCATCAAACTTACTTTCTACATTCTGAGAGGCTTTGCAGAGCTGTGAAAATCTTCTGTCAGCTCCTAAAATACAGATGTTATATAGAAGAGAGTAACAATTAAAATTCTATCCAGTGGAAGAGAAAAAGATTGCACATTGAGTCAGCAAAATTATGATTTCTTTTTTGGTTGAACCATTACGCATGACTTCGTCCTCTAATTCAGATTTCCTTACCACTGGTGTTCAATAAAAGAGTGAATTATCTGATACCAATTTAACTTTTATTGCTGTAAGCTGTTTGTAAATAATTCCAGAATAAGCCATATGCGTGAGTATATTAGATTGGAAGAATTTCAAAGAAGTTTTATCCAAATCTGTCTGACCTTTGGGTGATACCTAGGAGCCCTCTTTTTTTTTTTTCTATCCAAAACTCAATTGGCCTTACTCCCACATTGGTGTTATCATAGCAAAATGGTATATTTTCTACACATTTTATAAATCCCTTAATTTATTTTCAGGCTTTCATTAGCCCTTTTTACATGAGCTTCAAGCCCTGCATGTCTACTTTTCTTCTTTCAAATTATCCTGAAAAAAAGAAAACACCAAGAAGGCCCAACCCCCAAACAAATCCTTTAATGGGTTGAAAATTCTGATTAAATCACAATGCCCGACAGACAAATCTTGCTCATGTCCAGCCTCCTGTGGTTTCATAAATGATTGAAAATGCTTGGAAAGGAGAGATCCCAAGTAATGGTTTCACTGAAATCTCTATCAATTGGGTTGCACGTTTGGTAACTCCTTAGCAAAATATATAAATGGACACAACCCCCCTCCTCCCAGTAAGTGCAGAACACCCAGCGGGGTGCCTCATCCCCGTGCAGTGGAGTCCTGCTGCAAACCACAGCCAAAATGCTGCAATGCTGTTGTTGGGAGGTGATTCTTGCAGCTTTGGGGACCGAGGCCATCAGGTGACAATTGCATTAATGTGACTATGGTTGTCAAGGCAACACTGGGATTCAAGAGCATGGCTCCAGGTATTCTGTGAGCAGCTGAGATCTCAATATGAAAATTTATTAAAATAAAAAGTTGAGGCGGAAGGGGCTTGATCAACCCCCCCCCCCACACACACACACACATACACACATCTGTAAGGGGGACTGACCCGTTCCATCCAATAAATGTTCATTCCTTTTTTCCTTCTCACAAGCAAACTGCTTTATACAGTTTGTGCTCAATAAATACTGGCGGTACTGAAAATGCACTCCAGACATTATTGTCCAGATAACTTTATCCTTTTTATTTTTTAAAGCTTGACCTGCATCTTCATCAGGACGAGAAGATTTTAGATTTTTTTGTCGTAACTTAAAATGTATCCCCAAGTACTGAAAAATAAATGATGTTTATCATTTCTTACAAAGTGAAATAACACATAAGCAAAAGAGGGAGTGTGTCATCCAAATAAGAAAAGTGTTGTTTCACTGTCTTAAAGCATGAGGCTTTGCCACAGGAGCCCAGGGCTGGCCAGGAGCTGAGCCTCCTCAGCTGGGGACGCTCTCTGAGGAGTTGGGCCACCATTAGATGTGAAAGGCTGAACTCAGCTTAACAGAAAGGCAAGGTGGTGACCGGGTTAGAGTTATCTCCTAAATTGGTGTAACTGAAACTCTCTGGTATTCCCAGAGAGTGTCTGCTGTCTCTCTTAATAGACTAAACATATGTGTCTTTTCAATCACTTAGGAAGAGATGTTATGAAATAACTATAGTCATAAATGGGCCATAGATGGTTTTAACATAATATCATCACCCATTCATAATTTCTATTTGACTGTCAAATGCATCAGAGTCAGCCGAGATATTTATTTTTTTGCGATGTATTATCCAACAGAGGTCATAAAAGAAATTCAGGGATGTTTTCTGTTCAATGCTACAAAGATAAAATTACGGCTTTCTATTGCTCTTTCCAAGGAATAATAATACGTCTTTATCTTCCTGAGTTGACACTGTTGCTTGCATTACATTCTTATTATCTAAGTGGAAAGAAAATGATGGTTTTCAGTGGAGTTGCAGGCTATTTTCACTTCAAAGTTATGTTACGTATCTTTTTCATAAAGTGTTATTATTTGTACTGGGCTGCCGATCATTTATTATGATCAGCGTCCCCTTTGGGTTTGGCAGGGGTGTAAAGTGGATGTCTGGAAAATGTCACCATTATTAGATGAGCTGCTCCCTTTTTTACGGGATGCATCTGTTTGTTAGCTGATTAGATTGGTCCCTCTACTTTAGTGGTCTGTGTGGGCTAATATACAGTTAAGGACCACAGATGGACCTTTAGGTCAGCAGCAAACCTGAATATGTCGGTGGGCCTGTGAGATTATAATGGAGCCAAAAATTTCCTTTTGCCTAGCAAGGTGTGTGACGATTGCCTGCAGTATTTAGTGCAGGTTTGCAGCTAGGAAGGATAGGCTGGAACATTAGCCTAGGTGTGCAGTGGGCTCTACCATCTAATTTGTGTAAGTGCACGTCATGATGCTCACACAGTGACGACCCGTCCCTGTCATTAAGGGATGCACGACTGTGCTCCATCCTCTAGTTCTCTACAAAGAAGTTTTACTTACGACATTTGGGTTAGGGTTTCTGTCTGATAATGATAGGTTTTTTAATAATTGTAAAACACATCGTTGCATTTATTTACTGACATCCTCTAATAGTCTAATGTCCAAACACATAAACACAATTCTAAAATCCCTAAATAAAGGCATGCAACTTCGCCACGCTGGAGTTGCGTACCTGTTGAGAAGCTAATGAACGGCAGGGGCAGTCTCCTCAAATTGAGTGGATGCAATTAGTAAGATCCTATGAAAATGAGTGGATGCAGTGGTGCCTGTGGCTCAAAAGGGTAGGGCGCTGGTCCCATATGCTAGAGGTGGCAGGTTCAAACCCAGCCCCAGCCAAAAACTGGAAAAAAAATAAATGAGTGGATGCAATTATCAAGCTCTTTTTCAGTGCTAGGAACAAACAACAGTGGTGTTTAGTGCCTCCCATCTGTGTATTTGCTTTCTTCTGGCAGAGAATTCAGAGTTCCCTGCTTTCCTTGTTCTTTTGCTAAATGGATGAGGGTCAGCTCGTCCCCAAAGCAAGGTCTGTAGAATGTGTCTCAGCACACCCCCGAAGCAGAGTCTGTAGAATACACCTCAGCTTTGCCCAGCACCACATCACCCTAGGTATAGCCTTAGGGCTAACAGGAAAAGTCAGGGGTATAATAGCAGCTTATAAAATATAGCCACACCTAGTTGTAGTTTTCATCTTTATGCCATCAAATATTTTCTTTTTATGAAAAACTTAGAGCAATTTCCTTGAGTAAAGGAGGATATCTAGATTTTTGAGCAATTCCAAGATCCTTAGAATCCCCCAACCTGCAGAAACACAAAACCCTACCCCACACTCCTTCAAAAATGTGGAATGAATTCTCTCTGTCTCTACGAGTGTCTGCTATTTGAGATAGGCTGTATCAACCCTTCTCTTCTTGGGACTTGGCATAATCCTGTCTGGGCTACCTAATAGGGATAAATTACAGAATCTCATGTGCCCAAGAAGAATGTTTTGGAAGGAACTCTTAAGAAAATGTCCTTCTTATCATAAGAAGAGAGGCACTCATCAGTTCTTATCATTAACTACAAATTCCACTCAAATATTATATGTTCGATGTTATAAACAATCCAAAGGCCACAATTTCAACACTTGATATCCTCTTCTCAGTATCTTTATTCGCTTTCCCCGAAGTGGTTTAAACAGGACAGAAGGAATACAGGCAGTTTCACCATCGCCGATCATCTTACCCGCTCTCCGCTTTCAAACATATGAACTGTGCTTGTTTCAACAAAGACCCACTGAAAGGCATCCTGCCCTGAAATGATTAGATTTCAGTCATATTCCTATTTCGCTTATCACTACCTTTTTCATTTAGCCAAAAATGTCTTTCAGGATTCACCAGCACGTTCAACCTCCTGATTCTTTTTTCCCCAAACACACTCAACTCCATTCACCACTATTTCCTCCCCACCCCAATTTTTTAATATATCCTTTTTATTAAGACTTTGCATTTTAATGCCATGATTAACTTAAAGAATTCTATGAATTACTCAGATGCCAGGTTATTTCCTAATTATTTAGACATTGACAGTAGATGGCTGTGTGTGTGTGAATTCACTCAATGCTTGGCTTTGTTTTAAATACAAGCAAAGGTCAATTCACTTAAGTCACCTGGGGCTCTCTATGTGCAGACAGTGAGGGGAGCTTTCTCTTAAATCCTAGATCCCAGGGTTCACTTGCTTGCAGCCTTCTCCTCTCTACATCTCAATTTTTATGCTCCCTCACCATTCCACAGTCACCTGAGTTGTGGGGATTGTTATTTTTGTGACATAAGTGATTTGAGGAAGTTATGAACGACCATTTGCCACCTTCCCGGATTGCAACCTTTTTCTCTGCCTCGCCCTCCATTTCTCTTTCTCCCTTCCCTACCTTTCTCCTTTCTTCAAGTTCATCCTCCTAAAATCTTTGCCCTTTTTAAAACTGGGGGCTTCTGCCCGAGGTGCCCTTCTTTACACATTCAGCTTCTCAGATCATGGTCACTGCACCCACTCTCTACCCCTTCTCATGCTTCTTAGTGGATCCAGCACCTATGTGATGACAAAGACATTTATAAATGCATGAGCTTTCACTTCATAGATGAATAATGACAGTGGCATTTATGAGAGCACATTATGAGAGTGCACATTTGTTTAATACTGGGAAGGCAGCAGGACGGCGGGCAGACCACAGCCCCTGCAGGGCTCCTCCACTGACTCACAGTCCAGATAAAACCTGACTTGAAATGTCAGATCTTAACCATAAATGAAAAGATGATAAATTCCTAGAAGGTATACAAAGTCAAGAGAAAGGATCTGATCTGGGCTTGTCCTTTAGAAATCAGCATTTTAAACTACAGTAGAGCTTCTTACCTGGTGAGGGGATGGATACTGTGATCACAAAGGTGGTTTTCCGGGCTGAGGCTTATCCATTGCACTCCAGATGTGCTGACCTCTGTGATTCCCCAAGATGGGAAACTCGACTGCATAATTTGTGATAGTGGGGGACTGCGTTCATGCTCTGCCCCAGAAACAAACAAATAAAAAAAACTAGAGTAGAATCTCCATAGGTGACCATCCCCTAAACCAACTGCCTCCTATGTTGACCTAATTTTCACAGACCGGACATGCGCCACATGTACATATCAATGCAGCAGGCCTAGTTCTTTATGCTGACCACCCCCCTGTGCTGACCAGGGCACTGCAGGCCCTTGGATGGTCAGCATACAGCCTGCTACTGGGATTACAGCTGCTTGCCTCTTCACCTAATCTGTCTGATGTTACCCTTTCACATACTCTAAGTGAAGGTCATAGATCTCTTCAAGGGCATACATATTTGACTCGGATGTGGACATACAAGCATACGTGTTTAAAACATATAATTAAACAACGTGCCCTTGAAATTGGTCATTTTGTCTTTCAGCCAGGTAGACAGCATGTTTAATGATATTATTTCCAAGAATTAAGCTCAAAAATTTAAACAGAAAATTCTCCATCTGTAGATAATAAATTATAGAAATCTAGATGCTCTGTGAGTATTTACATTTGGAAAACAAGTAATTTGATCACTTAAAAATACCTTGAATTCACTACACTACAATATTTTGAATATAATTACTTTATCTAGGTCTATTGCAAAATTCACTTTTTAATCCAGTAAAATATTTTCAGGAGATAAGAAAAAAGTAAAGAAAAGAATAATAATGGTTCCATTGAGATAGAAACAAGTTTTAAAAAAACCTTTATGAAGTAAATATTTTATAGCTTGTTATGATTTTTTTTTCCCTGAAAAGGGGAAGTACATCTGAAATCCCAGTCTGTGTTCTTCAGAAAAGTGAGAATCAAATCATGTCACTTAAACCTGAATATTTTCAAACTTCTTATCTTATAATTCTTTTAGATGCAGCAAAGTTGAAAAAAATAGTACAGAGAGTTCTTTTATAAATTCTTAACTTCTCCTATAGTCACATTAATTTAAATTTCCTAATTCCCTAGATTCTCTGATATGTGGTAGAGAACAAAATAAACCAACGAAAAATGCTAGTTTTGAGAAAGAATGTGAAAATTTTAATTGAAGGTAAGCTGCAAGCACAAACTATGTTATTGAAAACCTCAGTATATTAAGAAAAATGTAAGCTGTCCATCTGGGGAAAAGGCTGGATAGCAAGAGAATAGCCTTGGTTCTATAGACGACGTTCAGTTCTACTTACCAGCATTGTTTCTTGTTTATAATTCGTTTTACTGAAATTAGTCAAACGCATGTTCTATTCTTACTCAATGCAAGCCTCAGTATAAACCTAAGTGATTTGAGATCCTGGTGTGAAACATATATTTTAGAAGTTTGAGAATGTGACTTCTCAGAGCGTTGTATTTAACTAGGAAAAATGGAATAGCTTTGCAAACAGTATTTCTACCCCAAACTAAGGATTTCATTTTTTAAAATATCTGATATGTAGGTAAACTGGTCACAGCATTTAGACTACATTTTTGTCTCCCAGGCATAGAGAGGTGTTGGCCTAACTCCCTGTAGAGTGAATTTCAGTTCTGTAAGTAGGTCGTGAAAGGCGTGATAAGACTAAATGCATAAATATCAGACATTTAAATGTATCAACTTAGCCAGGTCTAACTACTTCACCAAGAAGCCAGTGAATTTCCCGTCTGGAATGTACTTTATAAGAAAAAAAAAAAAAATCAAGCTGCTTATAATGAAATGGGCAGAAAACACAAATAGGAAAAAACGTGTTTGGGTTGAATATTCGATCTCTGCCTATAAAACAAATATGAAATCTCTTTAGGATTCTTCTTTAACTGGAGGGCTAAAGAGGATAGCAGATAATACTTGTGTTATCTAAAAGGTTACAACTCCAAGTGTACAAACTCCCCAGTCCTAAGTATGTTGGAAATTTCAGGAATTACAGCGAGATATACATTATTATTTCTTTACAAAACACACCAGTCAAAGGACATACTGGGATTCATAGGCATAATCAATAAACTTCCTTGGGAGTGACTAAGTAGGTATAGAAATTAATATTATAAGCAATAAAATATTAGTAATGTTGAGAATGTGGGGAAATGATTAGACAGAGTAGGCAATACGGATAAGTAATACCAAATATTGAAAACCTAATAAACAACAAGAACAGAGTCTTGGAATGGCAATAGAGAATTACACGGCCAATGTCTAATTAGCATCACTGGAGCCCGGGATTTTGGTCCGAGCACAACAGGACATGATGTGGGATAGAAGAAGGGCGGAGATAATTCCTAAAATAACAAAACTTATCATTTAAATTTAAAGCTTTTAGTAAAGCAGGTGAATTACTGGAAAAAATTATGCCTTCGAAATTTTCTACAAGTGAATTATTAGTGGCATTCCTGGAATTGATGTGGACAAAACCCCAGGGACCTTTGACATTGGCTAGTATGAGGCATCGAGATTAAGTTGACTAAATGGCAAAGAAAATGGAACAAAGGACAGATAAGAGAGATAATCTAAAAATAGAATCAATAGCTCTGGTGGTTAATGGGATACGCACAGTGTAACTGAACCCAGATTACAGTGAAAAACCTAACTGATTTACTTTTTTCTTTCCATCCTAAATGATAGAGCCCAATATTAGAGAAACCAAAATCATGCTATCATGATTCTGTCATTCAAATATGGGAGCATTAGCAGAGTCTTGGGGAATTTGTCTTGACTGATTTTTTTATAGATCATTGATGTCTAAATCATGAACTAGGGCAAAACTTTACACATACACCAATATGAACACACACACACACACACACACAAACACACTCTATATAACCCAGCACACAGACATCCACCATGAGGAAAGAATTACTTGTATTTTCTGAGACTAGTTATATAATTTTGAATTGTTTAAAAATTCAATACATATGCCTATAGGTATAATAGGTGACTATTATGCAAGGGTTCAAGTTGCCATTTTCAAACTTTATAATGGTTCTAGAATTTTTCTCATTTAAAACATAACAGACCTCTAAGAGACTCTCTGATTCTATAATGAAATTCCTTTAATTACACTGTTGAAAGAGCAGTGAGTTAGTTGAGACAATAAGGCTTCACCCCCTTCATTTGTAACATAGGCATTTACTAAGATATTTTTTGTGTAATTATTAAAGTACTCATGTAAATATCAACATTTCTTCCATCCCTGTGTTCTCAAAGCTTTTAACAGACCCTTGGGTAACTTTAGGTCTCATGTATTTCCCACCTTGCAGGGGGTGGAGAAAGGAATTATTCCTCAGCTATTCCTCTGTCATTATTTATTACATGAATAATCTTTTCACTGAGGAAATAGTGAAGAAAGCTACTTTACACCACTAGTTGATAAAAAGAGCCAAGTACGAATTGGAATTATTCATTATCAAGTTCTTGTTGTTGTTGTGGTCTGGTCTTTTTCTGAACTTGGACTTGCTCTTACTTTACTGAAACCGTACACCAGCAACAGGGAGATGGCTGATACGGAGGGGCTAAAAAGTTCAGTCTGTCAGGAGAGGGATTCATTTCAGCCCATCCGTGTTGTTATTCTGCTAAGTGGTGACATAATCCCAAATTCACATTCCCAGGAGATCGGCTCTCAGGATTTCTCCCATTTGCTGACTTTACTGCAAAAGAATGCCGGCTTCTGCCATAATTGAGGAAAAAGGTTTTCAGGCCAGATTATCATTTCTGAAACGGATCACATAACATATCTAAAAGTGTTAGTATAAACTCAACCTTCTGCCCAGGGATTGTCTTCTTTTCAAATGAATTTTAAAAAATTAAAAAATTAAAAAAAAAACAAAATGTTCTTTCTTTGTATGGGCTTGTCTTTTAAATTTTGATAAATCTGGTTTTTTAATTGAAAGCACTTTAGGCAAAATAGCAGCCTGGACCAATATTTAATACAGTGGAAAAAAGAGCAGAAAACTGGAAACAACCTACATGATCACCACTGTACGTTCTGCAGTCATGCAAAAGAATGAGAGAAAGACATAAAGACTACTTTTTTAAGTGAACAGATCAACCCAGGACAGAATATATACCCTGTTGGCACATCTGTGGGGAAAATGACATATGCATGTACACAGCATGTGTGGGCGAATGAATGAATATAGACAGACCACATAAAGTACAGGGTACAATTAATGAGCCACTTCTGAAGGAGCCAGAATGCATTTCAATTGTTATTTCACACATTTCTGAAATATTTGACTATTAACAGCCTGACACACTATTATAATTAAAAAATTGTGTACTGAAACATTACGAGTTCTACATCCTCTTTCACTAACTGAAAAAATTTTAGGGTGTATGCTAAAGAATGCATTTAATGAATTACGTATTCAACGCTAACGGTACTCGATGTTGATACATATTTCGCAGATTTTGCTAAATACCCTATGACTTCAATGAGTGTCCTCAGAGCGCTCAGGAACATTAGCCACACAGAGAAATGAGGGTCCTGGGTGCTGGCAAGGGTAGGAAACACTCCTGAAGGCAGTAGAGGCCTTAGAGACCGGCCAGGGCTGACAGTATCTTTCAGATATTTGGGGTGGGTGAAAACCCAAAACACATTTGGTCAAGTTCTATATTTCAAGATAAACTTTACCCATATGTTTTTGATTCATTTACATGTAATTCATTGAACCGACATTCTGAAAGAGTTATTTGAAGCCTAAGGAGATTTTTGTGCTATAATTATATGTGATACATACAATATAATGACTAATAATTTAGAGCAGAGCTTACGTTTGGCTGTGTTAAAGATTCCAGACACGTGTTTCCCTCTGCTTGAATTGAGGTGTTGAGGGTTTCACCGAGTCAAGCCACAGTTGAGATTTATAGTTCAATCTGCCTGCATTGTTTGTATATTTCTTTTTTTAAAAAAAAAAATCAGTTTTCTATGCCTCAGTTTACACAATCTCAAAATAATATGTAGGCCACTCTTTATTAATTTTTACCATGATAATTTATCAGGATCTATAATGTGTATTATTAACAATAAATTTCAAAATAA